GCCACCGGCCCCGCCTCTGACCTCGGGGTCGCCGCAGGCCCCGCCTCCCGGGCCGGGCGTGGGCGGGACCCGTTCTTTTCCCCCGGGGCAAAAGTGAGAGTTGGGGACTGGGCCCTGGGATATTAGGGACAGCTGCTCCTACCCCACTTTGGGCGTTTGGGAAGATTAGTCTGCACCTTGCCCTTTCCCTCCGCCTGGAAATTCCCTTCCTCGGGGAAATGTCCGTACCCGGGGTGGTGCGAGTTTCCAGCACGGCCCAGATCCCGTGTGGTTCTCGTTCCGCTCGCCCGCGTGCGGTCTCGGGGCGTATTTGTAATCCTCTGTCTCCCGAGTGTCCTTAATAATAATGGGGCGAGGTGCGTTACTCCTCACTGCCTTCTCAGAATTCCCACAAGTTCGCCGAAGCCCCCGGGGTCGTCGCTCGCCCTTTTCCATCCTCCCGGCTATTGTATGGACTGTGCCATTTGTGGAGGGGTGTGGCCTAGCCCGATCTGTTGAGGCCTTAAAAGGGAGCTGTTGCAAATAAACGTTCTCTTTAATGTGGGGAACTGGCTGCTCGCTGCGCACCGTGTTTTCTAAGTAGGTAAAGGCTTAGGTTTGAGAGGTCTTCACAGCGCTTCCCCTTTTCCTCCCCAGTTTTGTGGGAAACAGCGGTATTTCTACTGAAAAGTTTTAAAGAGAGGTGTGGGACCCAGGCAAGGGGTTTGTTCCACACCGTTCTCTTGACTAGATAATCGGTCTCCAGCTGGTGGTGGTATGGGAGGTGCACCCCTACTACGTGCGGGCGCGGGGTGGGCGTGAGGATGAGCTGACTGCCGCCCACGTCTGTGATAACTCGGCATCTCTCCTGTGGAATTGTACGGCATGCTTTGACATGGAGTCTGAGTGGCTACTACAAATTATACTAGTGTGCATACTTTTGTTCTGGCATGAAAATCGACTGATGTGTCCCATCAGCTCACATAGAATATTTTCTTTAGGATAAGGTAAGATAGGCGATGTTATAATAAAGTTTTTTGGATGGGATCCTTTGTCTCGTGAAAGTAATTACTGTGTGGTGAAATTAGATGATTATTTTTCTCTATCTTTTAAACCTTTACTTTTAGTTTTATTGTATTCACTTATGTTCATCTCCCTGAATCTGTGTTCCTAGATTTAGATATTGGTTCATGGGCAGAGTTTGTTTGTTTGTTTGTTTTTTACTAGAAAACTTAGATTTTTAGTATCACCATGTGGGGTTAATTATATTAAGCACATTCTACCAGTTTTGGGGGTGGACATCGGGATTTCTTTACTATTTTGTCCTTAATATAGTGTCAAAAAGTAATTTCAGCCTTATTTGCCCGTAGTTGAAGTGGTGAGATTACTATATTGTGGGCTTTTCAAAAGTTACTTTCAAATTACTTCAGAGCAACTTGGTTATAATTTAGTAGTAAAGGCTCTAGCTTTTTTTTTTTTTTTTAAGAAATCTTTTAATATACTCATGATCAATAATAAAACAAATCATTAAACTTGAGTTTGGTTGTTCGTTAAACTTTACTTCAAAGTGTAATTGAAGAATATTATCTTAGGGCACTAAAGAAAAGAATGATAGTATTGACTTGATTCAGAATGATCTGCCTTTTTTAAACAAAAAGAAGCACATGTTGGAAAATACTGTCATGGTGCATATTTTGGGGTACATTTCTGGTCTTAAGCATATATATATAATGTAGATATTTTTCTGATTCTCGTTTTTTACTGTAAATATTCCTTTTTTTCTCCATTACGAACTATTTAAAACACTTGAAGAATGTTTAGAAACATTAATGGCAGCTTGCACCAATTTCCAAGCGAAGGGTAGAATGGACTGATAGGCAGTGGCATGGTTTTCTATAAACATATCTAACAGGTTATATCTAAGTAACTGTTCATACAGTTACTATAAAGTATCTGATTCGGAGCCAGCAGGTGGTGGTTAAGGCTCAGGACTTCCACATCCGCCCATCATGGTTCAGGACGCGTCAGCTTGAAAGTCATGCTGGACTCATGTGGGTGTGCCCAAAATCCCAAGAGGAGAAAGGATAGGGGTGTTCCCCCCCCCCAAAGGGGGAATGATTTATCTCTTTTTTTTTCCCTCTTACCATTGCTGGTGAGCACAGGTGCCCTATGGCAACAACCTGCGGGGGAGGGAATGTATCTGATTCACAAATGAACTCTTTTTAGGCCTTGGATTCCAATTAATAGCATAAAATTAGTCTTGAAACTAGGAAAAAATGTAGGCAAACTTAGTTTACAGGGACTTAATGGGACCTGGATAAGGAAAACATACTGTGTCAAACACTAGTAGGGGCCAAGTTTGGGACTGGAACCCAGATTTTTTAATTCCCAGTTCTGTTCATTTCCCTCACCCCTATAAAAATCATTTTACCTTCTGCCTGATAAATATTTATGTTCTCAATGTTGGTTAAAGAAGGAAGTGATGGCATTTTTAACTTTCCTAAGTGTTTTCATGATTTATCTTTGTGAAAAAGGAGAAGAAAATGCCATTACTTGTAAAAGATGAAAAAGTAAGCTCAGAGATTTACTGACTTGCCTAGACTGGAAATCAGGTTTCCTAATGTTTGGCTTGGTATACTTCCCTGAGCACCTCCTCCCTTACTGAAAATGATCCAAGTCAATCTATTTGCTCCTACTTGTAATATAAGTGTACCTAATATTTTTTGTTTAATACTTGACATCAGAAGGAACCTTTACCACTGAACTTTTAAATGTGAAACTATAGGCTCTTACAGGTTGATAATACAGTTGCTTTTATTGTTTGTAATTATTTTGAGAATTAACAGCTTTCCCAAGATTCTGGTTTGCTTACTGAAAAAAAAAAATTGTTTGGGATGTATCTGGATTCTAAAGATTAATGTTCTAATCAGAAAATGAGTCAAGAAGTCTTCAGTTAAAGGAAAAACTTGGAAACCTGAACATTTAAGGTGGTTTGGAATTTGCTATGAAGTGTACTACAGAAAAACATTTAAAGTTTATTGTCTGAGCAAGTTACTGTAAATGAGCCTGGTTCCCTAATATCTCTTCATATTCTCTACTCCCAGCATATTCTCTACTCCCAGGTGTGTGTGTGTGTGTGTGTGTGTGTGTGTGTGTGTGTGTGTGTGAGAGAGAGAGAAAGAGAGAGGGACATGTGACTACTGATTACAGTTACTGATAGTTAACGTGATAGGTAAGTTTCCTCTAAAAAGACATAATCCCATCTGTAGACTTTGCCTTCAAAGACTTAATGTCATCAAAGATACCTCATACTGCTTCACAAAGCCTGAATAATGGGGGGGGGGGACTTTATATGACCACTAATACTCAGCTTTTCTTAACATACTTAGAATTAAGCTGAAAATTATCGTACTTTACTTAAAATGTGATTTTCAGAGAACTTACTGAACATTTATTGAGGAAAAAATGTAATCACATGCTCAGGGCTCTGACTTTACCTTGTTTTATATGTACTACAACTCTATCCTAGGGTTTTTGTTTTGTTTTGTTTTGTTTTCCTCAATAGCACATTAAAAAACCAACTTAAAGAACGTGCTACTCAAGGTTATAGAACTATTGTAGCAGAGCCAAGATTTCTGAACACAAAGCCAGCATTCTGTACATGGTACCACTGGTTGCTGCCTTGTATTTGGCATGAAGATGGTCATATATATTCTATTTAGTAATCTCTTCAGTGGTGAATACATTTATACATAGAGTTTTAGCTCTATATAGAAACTATTTTAAGGAAAATACATCCAGAATGTTTTAACATGAGCATTTTTGTTCAACTTGATATTTAAAATAACTTTTAATGAAAACTAGAAAGAACTTCAGAGATTAAGTTCATTTCCTTCAATTTACCAGTGATGACTTTGAAACCTATGAATTAAAGTATAGAGATAATAATAGCAAGACTGGATTTAGACAACAATAGACTCAGCTATCTTACATTCTATTAGATCTATGTTTACTGGTATGATTCCACAGAGAGTGTATGAAAGGTCTACAGTTCCTAGCTTGAAACCATTGGGGCCGTATGTGTATCATCACAAGTCTGGAGTACTACTCCTGAAATCAAACATAATACTAGCTCTACTGAAACTTATAAGGATTTATGCCAAGTAAACACTGAAAACCTCACATTTAGGCCAAGTCCATTTTTTTCCACCATGTTAAATTTTGGAAAAAAATTAATTTTTTCCCCTAAATTGTCAGAAGGTGTGTCTGCTAGAGGGATGGAGAGATAGGAAGAAAGCACCCCCCAGTGGTGTGTGGTTGAGCCTCAACCCCTACACACACACACACACACACACACACACTCCATTCTGTCAGGATCTCAGACGTGCACACATAGGTACCAGGAGTGTGATTTCAGGTTTCTGAGGCCTGGGCTCAAATCACAGTTGGCCATGTGGGATCCAGCTTCCTTAACTACAAGGTCAGCCCTGAAAAAACTTGGAAGAACTTTTCTAAATTGTGGACTAGGGATTATCAACTTTAAGAGCATAAGGTAAAAAGAATAAAATGACTTCTAAACTCAATAGAACCATCATCTACTGAAATTAGGTGCCACTTATTCTGTCAAGTACTTTATACCTATTTCAAAATAAAGCAGCACCTCTTCAAGCAAGGCATAATCCCCATTTTTGTGTATGAGGCCTGAGGCTTGGATAAATTAAGTAACTGGCACAATTCACCAAACTATTCATGAAGCAGGAATTCAAGTCAAAGTATGAACCCAAGGCCAATGTGATCTTTCCCAAATGGCACTATCACAGGATATTTTTCCCATGGTAGCTCTCTATCCCTTGGAGGGAGTTACAGTTTCCTAATAGGACTTTTGTCAAGGGGAGGGCACTAGCTTATTAAAATAAGTTTGTTGTGGAGGAGATGGAGAAAAGGATGTGGTGTAGGGATTTAAGAGAGCTAAAGCCAGAGTAGAGAAGAAAACCCAGTGAAATGCTTAGTGTGAGACTTTGGGAGGATGGGGAATGTGTTAGGTGGCATTGTTTTAAGTTTAAACCTTTTATAATAGGTCATTTGTCCCTGACTAAAGTAAGTAAATATATTCCAAAGTCACTCAAAAGACAACTTAAGTTACTGATTCACTTTTACATAAAAATATAAATGCAAAAATACTAGACTATGACCTAACTGGGTTCATATAGTATTAAAAATATACATGATTAGGTAGGGTTTGTCCTGGGAACAAAACCGGTCACTATGAGTCATAATATTAAAAGACTGAGAAATGGCATTTGAAAAAGGTTCAATGTCTTATAAAACTTGTTAATGCATTAAAATGAGAAATTAAGATTAAAATTAGAGTTAATTTAACCTGACATTTCAAAGTAAGGTAAGTGGTTGAGTTTTTAGTGTTTTAATTTTCAGTTATCAATAAAACTAATTTTGGGAGTTGCAGCTATGATAGTGTACACTAGTTGATGCTATAGGACAGGCTGATGCCACAGGAGAGGCCTGGGTTTGATTCCTGGCCTACCGTAAAAGTTGGGCACAGTGACACATGGTCGTACTCACTGCTGCTCAGGAGGATAAGGCAGTAGGATCCTGACAAAGTGATTTCCCTCTCTTTTAAAGGGAGGGGGGCAAAACTAGTTCTCCTGGGGTGGGTAACATGGTTTGGAGGGAAAAAAAGAAAAACACTCGGGGTACAAGGAAACAGGTTTTAGCCTCCATAATGTTTGCATAATGAGTATGTTGAATTTAACTGGAATATGTACCTTGCACTTAGAGCACTTTGTAAGTTCCATAGTTTTTCTCTTTCATTTCTTCTAGCTTTAAAAATAATTATTAATAAGAAGAAATCTCATTTTGAATAAAGAATTTTTGTTTTGGGAGTTTTGGTCTGTCTTTTTTTCCCCAGAAATATAAAACAAAGCCTCCATACTGTGTGATTATGGGACACCATCCACGTTGTAGTCCATGTGAATGTTGTCTCTCTGGAGTTGTATGATTTTTAGTCTATATTGCCGGATGAGGTTGCTTTGTAAACTTTGGTTTCTTAATAAAATTATTGAGCGTGCTGTGAAGTGTTCGATTTGCATTTTTTTAAACAATTATTTAACTTTATTTATTTATATCACTCGAGAGGGACAGAAAAGAAGAAAGCAAGCAAGCCACCAGGTCTGGGACTCAAACTGTTGTCAGCCATGTGAGAGTTCAGTACCTCTAATCACCACACCACCTGCTAGCCCCCCACCCCCATTTTTTTTACTTTTCTTTCTTTTCTTTTCTTTTCTTTTCTTTTCTTTTTTTTTTTTTTTCTTAAATAACATTAGGCCAGCCAGTGGCTTGGTGGTTAAGGTGGCTGCATCCCACACCGCCCACTGCAGGGTTTGAGTCCTGGACCCAGTAGCCTGGGGTGGGGGGTGGGGAGACACATACAAATGAGTGTCCAAAATCACTGAAGGAGGAAGAGATAGAAAAGGGCTTACTTACAGCCTGACCATCCTCTGCAGGGTTAGGGACAAGGGTGCTTGCTTGCTTGCTTGTAAACACATGTGCCCTCTGGTAAAGTATATCGGCATATATACTCACCAGAGAGACAGAGACAGACAGTAAGCAAGAAATCACCTCCTAAGGGTGATGGCCATGCCACAATCCCTTCTCTGTTCTTCTGTTGGGATCTTGGGCACACACACACCCAAGGTTAGTTTTTAAGCCACTGGGTCCAGGACTCTAACTGCAGTCAACTACATGATAGTCCAGCGATGTAACCATTATACCTTCTGCTGGTCCTGGTAAAAATATATTTAAAAATGTTAGTTTTGTGGCCAGCAAGTGCCATATTGGTTAAGGCACTGGATTCCCATGTGGGTGATCATGGTTCACGTCCTGGACCCAGCAGCTTGAAACTCACGTTAGGCATATGTGCATGCGGGCCTAGAATCCCAAGAGGAGAATTGGATTCCAGCATGGCCATTCCCCCTGAAAAGTGATTCCTTGCTTTCTGTGTCTCTGGCAAGAGCATGTGCCCTGTAGCAAAAATCTCAAAAATAAGTAAATAAAAAGTCTTGGCTTTAAAGAGAAGTAACTGTGACCTCACTACTATGGATTTAGAATTAGCTCTTTGGATTGTAGAGACTAGAGACAGCAGCTGGGAAACTCCTGAGTTGTGCTTACTGGGGCACATTTGGTTTAACTCAGAACCACTTCGGTCAAACTGGGCATCCTGTTTTGTGAGAAATCTGTTACTATCTAGATTCTAGAAAGTGGAACTGATACATACTTGTACTGCCATGTTTTAAAATAGTTACTATTTAGTCCTATGTCTTCGAAATACTTTTAATGAAGAGTTCACAGTCTGCCAAGGGGCATTCAGACTAGGTATTCCATATTTCCAGGTGCTTCTTAGTGCATATCAACTTTTTTCATTGTATAAACTACTCAGTTCTCTGCTAAGCAAGGTGATTTTTCTGGGAGTTTTCCATGCAAGCTACCTTTGGAGTATACAATCCTTCTTCTGTCAAGACTACCTATAAGATGAACTACTTGAGGAACTAAAAATTATTGATTGCTCTTAATGAGGCCAGCAGGTGGTGTGGAGGTAAAGGCACTGGATCCCGTGTGGCCGAGTGCATGGTGATCCCTGGCAGCTTGAAAATCATGGCCTCAATGTAATAACATTTATATCCTGAGTCAGTTTGGCACAGGAGATTTCTTAATCATCTTTGATGGGTAGAAGAATGAAGAGAAAGATGTGTCCCAAGTTTTAAAGGGGCGGGGAGTTAATATACACAGTTTCTAACAAGTTTTATGGAAGCATTAGATTTGTGAACACTTAGGAAAGTTTTAGAGGTAGCAAAAACAGGATCATGTGAGGTACAGTGTTGGATGCATTTAGGTCCGAAAGGTACCTTTACTGCTTTTATGACTTTTTTTTTTTTTTTTTTTTTTTTTTTTTTTTTTGGGGGTTTTTTTTTATAGGGGCCCACCGCCC